GACTCTGATACACAGTCAGTTTGGGGAAGTACTGCATACAACTGCAGCCAGAGGTGGTGTGAAAATTGGTGACGATCAGAGCCCAAGAGGGAAGGGGCAGAATACAGGAATTCCTCTGCTTTATGAGCAGCCTGCTGAACTACACCCGGCTATAACTGGTCTTGCAAAATTCTACCAGATCCGAAAAACATGTTTTGGCTTCACCTGAATTTATATCTAAGACCCCAGACCTTCTTAATCAGCCCGTCTCCTCCCACGTGGCTTTTCCTATCCTCCTGGAGTTTGCAATTACACTTTGAGAAACTACACCCTCTTTTCTCAAGATAAATTTTGCTGAGCTGTTTATTCTTTGTTATTCAATGAATAACAAAGGAAGAAGCATTTGAAACTATGGATGCCCTTCAAATGTACTTGGCTAGTTCTTTGACCATCTTTCCATACAGAGGGGGAAAAAAATCAATGGTAAACTGTGCATCATTCCTGACCACATACTCAAATATTCTTTCTTTTGTTCAATATCCTTTTCTTTATGAGTTATTTCACCAGGCTAAGATAACTGCAATGTTTTCCTAAATGAATCTTTAAGGTCTCCCCAATTCCAAGGCAATGGCTTTGTTAATTGCTCATGAACCTTTACTGTGATATTTTTAGGGAAGTAAATGCTATTCTGATAGGACGTGGAACTTTCTTTGGGGTCTGAGGAATATTATCTCATGATTGGTTTTACAAGGAAAACTTATAGCTGAAATCTCCAGAGTGTGTGCCATCCTTGCTGTGGCTGTTCCTAATGGGCTGAGCAAACACAGAGCACAGGGATGTGGCCTTGGATTCCACAGCAAAAGTAAGCACTGAGGCTCCATTGGAATTCCTGATGCAGAGGCGTGCAGTGCTTACTTCTTCTGTGAGGTCAAGAAACAGGGGCCAAGGAAATGGGAGCTAGAGCAAGGGTTGGAACTCAGAGGGGAATGAGAGCAACTCTGTACTGTTTAGTGTGCTTTCCCCCAGTGTTTGTGAGGAACTGTGTCCCGTGCAGCATGCTAGATGTCAGGGAGACAGTGAACCACACGAACATGGCTCTTGTCCTCACAAGGCTTACAGGGACTTGGAGGGGACAATGAAAACAAATTAGCAAACTAGATAACTTAAAATTTGCTAAGATCTTGGAAGAAAAGGCTTTGGGCAAGGGAAAAACGCAGTGTATTACATGATTTTAAAAGTTCACTCTCATGGCTGTGTGTCAGCATCAGGAAGTGCAGAGATTAGTGAAGAAGCAATTGCAGCTGTCTTGTTGAGAAATGGCCATGACGGGGACTGGGGTGGTCTTGAGCCAAATACCACTGGCAACCAAGTTCTGGACAAACTCTAGCCTGAGTGTTCTGATACAGTTCCCAGAGGCAATGGGATAAAATAGAAGAGCAAGTGGAATCAAGGGGCCGACAGCACTGTAGTTATGGCTGAGCTCAGCCTAGGCTACACACACAGGATTCAGGGATGAGGGAAAACACTGCTTACATCCAGGATTCTATGAGGTGTGATCAAGATATATGGTGAATGTTTATTTTTTTTAAATGCAGTACAGTAAAAGACACATTGCCCTTAACCCCCCTCAAAATACTCCCTGAACACAGTTATCCTATCGTTTTACTTCGAACACTGCCCATCATTCTCGGTACTTTCTGAAGCACTTCTTGAAGTCTTTGGTGAGTGTCTTTACAAGGTGAGATAGAAAATATGGTGAATACTGCTGCCAAGTGCCATCCAGCAGAAAGGCAGACTTACAAAAACATTACAGTATGTCCTCATCCATCTTATTCACCAGTGCTAGCACTGTGTGATTTTTGACTCTTCCTCAAAGTCAAAATAACCATGAAAGGTAAACATTTTGAATGGATCCAGGACATTGAGAGAGCCATGACATTGCAACTAAGTACAGAGAAGAGAACCTCCAGAACTGCTTCAGAAAGTAATAAGAAAGATGGGATAAACGTGTTGGAAGTGAGGACAAGTATTTTGGAGAGGATTAATGATAATGTATCTTAGACTATAATACATTTTAAAAATGCAAATGTTCACCATATTTTTCGATCACACCACATGTAGCCCATTGTAAGATGTGCCCAGTATATGTGTGATGACAGCAGAGTGAAAACATGACAAGAACCAAGAGAATGTTGAAGGGCCCAAGAAGAAGGCTGGAGATGAGAGCAGGAGCTCACCAGGAAGAGGCACGGATGGACCCTTCCAGTGGATAGGCAGCAAAAACAGAGGGGTGGCCATGGCAACTGCAAGGCTCCTCAGGTCCTGTTTGGCTCAGGTGCAGGATTTGCAGAAAGAAAGCATGACTGAGGCCATCAAGTAAGTGCTGAACACCAGGGTGAGAGTGGACACTTACTCCCCAACTTTTGCTGTATTTGTACAACTTAATGTCCGTATCAAATTGCCCTGTAAAAAGTAAACTCTTGCTTTGCAATTTGTCTTCCTAGTGGCAAGATTCTTTCCCTAAACCAGGGTCCACACACGCGCACACACACACACACACACACACACACACACACACACACGGACTGGGCCAACAAGGGGAAGCTTCATCTGCATTTACAACCATTGCCCACGCTCTCATTAGCACCACTTCCTGTCAGATTGGCAGTTGCATTAGATTTTCATAGGAGCTTGAACCCCACTGTGAAAGCCCCTGCCTAACCCAGGAATCTAGGTTTCAGCTCCTTTGAGTCATCCTGAACCACTGCCCCCATGGCCCCTGCCTTCCCACCTCCCCACTCTTGTCAACTGTGGAAGAAGTGTCTTCCACAAAACCAGAATGGTCCCTAGTGCCAAAAACATTGGGAACCACTGCCCTTAATTGGCAGTAAAGAGCTCTCAAGGTAATAATTCCTATTCAAGCAGACACTCAGGACTCTAGAGCTAAGACTTAGCTGTCACTTCAGGTGAGCTGGTGTTTTCTGAACCAATTTATCTTTTTAAATTTCAATTTACTTCCCCCTCCCTCCCTTCTTTACCCTTCCCACCCTCAATTCCTCCCTCCCTCCTGCCCTCCCTCCCTTCCGCCCTCCCTCCCTTCCTTCCTTGGTCCACAGACATCCATGGATTGCTCTGGCTAGCAAAGTAGTGGTTGCATAAAACATTATGATTAATTTCAGAAAATTTTTCTTCTGTGATTCTATGTCTTCATGACCAAGAACCACACTTTGCAGTCTTTAACAGCTTGTCCTGTCCTATGCCTGCCACTTGCCTACACCATGGTAAGATGTGGGCAAGTGGGCACAGTGCCTGGGAGACTCTCACTGTCAGGCTGAGGTGGTGACCAGGGCCACCAGAAAACCCCTGCTCTTCCTGGGAGACCTGGGAGCGAGCATTTGGAGTTTGGTATCTGGATACACTCAGCTGTGTGGCCCAGTTTAAAGCATATCCACTTTATCGTATCTCTCTTGTCACTCAGACAAGTAACACAGAGTGTAGAAACAAACATGGCAGTTAAGTTCACCTAGTTTCCTTGGAACCTCTTCGCTCCTACTGGCCATCTTTCAACTAAGGGAAAACACAGCTCAGTGCACATTTTGGGATTTCTTTTACATTCTGGATGTGAGTATAAAGAAATTTCTCTTATAATTGGTTTCTCTCTTCTCTGATCCTCCCTCCAAAGGCACCACATTTCTCCAGAGAGTGTGTCTCAAATGTCTGTCTGCGAAGCTCTTTGCAAACATTAATAGACAAATGGTTGGTTTATATAAAGCACACATGTATTGCTCTGACATAAGCAGTGAGGAGCTTACAGTTTACATTTTTTTGTCTTCTTTTAAAAAGGAATGAGAAATCATATTCCAGATGATCTAAACTTTTAAGCAAGGAAGGCGAGAAGTAGAAAAGAAACCAAGATCTAAAAGACATTTAAATTTAGACCCTTTGGGAGCCAAGTGCAAATTGGCATTTAAGTTCATGTTTATCTTTAGAAGAAAAAGCCAGTCTTGAATTACTTGCCCACTTTCAACTCCTGCTTCTCTGCCTTGAGTAGACCTCTAAACACCGAACTTAACTATCAACCCTAATTTAGAAAGTAGATTCATGCATTACTAATAACAGTTATAAGGGCAGCAAGGCAGGCTTGAGATTTTGTACGAAACACCAGGAAAACAGAGCATATGTGAGTTTTTCATAGCCGTGTGTTCAAATTCTTTCTAATATAGTCAGGTGGTATCCAAACTCAAACATCTCATAAAATGTTCGTCTTTTACACAATCAAATGTCTTGACACCGTCAGCTGTTGGTTGAATTATCTAAATCCCTTGGCAGTTAGAGGTGCTTTTTGTGGAGAAGTCATGGAACTTGAACACCATTTTTACCATAGTATATGATGCAGGCTAGTTCAACATATGTAGTGCGGAAGCTAAGTGTAGGAGGAATAATATCAGCCATCTGTTAACTTTTTCTCTGCCTCATATAGCTGTGTGTCCTTGAGATGATTACAAAACCTCTCTGGGCAATAGCTTCTTCCTCATCATTAGAATAAAAAGATAGCAAATAACAGCAGCAAGTTCATAAGATTTTGTGAGAACAGACTATGTGTTTGATACATATTAAGTAGTAGATAAAAGCCAACTTTAAGAAATATATATGTGTGAATATATGTATACATATATACACAATTTTCTGTTCTACAAGAAACCAATTCAAATGTTATAATACATTGTTTATTCAAGGGATTATTTATGACTATTAAAATGGTATTTTTGAAAAATAATTATATTAGGTTGAATACAAAGACAAATTATTTTATTAATTACAGTTTCTTATCTCCCTCTTTTTTCTCTCTGACACACACACATCAACTTCTTATAACTGAAAGGAAATCTACATATGTTTAAATGGTGTGTGTGTGTGTGTGTGTGTGTGTGTAAATATGGTGATGTAGGAAATGTGGGATTAAAGGGGATTTTAGGTTTTCTTTATTATTTTTCCTATTTCCAAGTTTTCAATGCTGTTTTTAATCTTCTACATTAGTTTTATAAAGTCTTTTAAAAGCTGCAATGAGCCAATCCACCTGACTTCTTAGAACAGTCCCGGAGGAGCAAAAGTGCATGTGTTCTTCCATGCTTTAGTGAAGAGGACAAAAATGTGCGAAGGTAAATGGTAAACAGGGCTCTTAGTCAGTTGAGAGTCCTCAGGGCACAGACTGAAAAGGAACAAAATCATCCCACAAGGAAAGAGTAAGGAACAGGGCAGCCCCAGGCAGCAGGGTAAACCGGTGACCATCAGTCAAGCAGGGAAACTTTCAACAGGTCTCCAAGCCAGGAGCATTTTTGAATCACAGTAGAAGGAGCTTTTCTTGGAAAGCATACCTTAAGAAGTTTAGAAAATGAAGAACCATGACAGTTCAAGCTGCAAGCGAAAGCAGAGAATCAGTAACAGAACAAAGTCCCGTCAAATGGCTTCCAAGAATGAGGTCATGTCAAAGAGCTCAAAACAAATAGAAACTTTTCGGATGTAACAAGAGTCACTTGGTCTGCAGACACAGAGGGGAGCCTCTCTCCTCAGGGTTTGTTATATTTACCTACTGAGGATGTGGATTTTTGCTGAGAAACACTTTTCGGTCTCTGCCCCTCTGCCTGTCTCCGTCTGCCCTCTGAGTGCTGGGTTTCAACCTCTGTCCCAGGGCACCCAGGCCTATCCTTGTGGCTTCTCAGCTGTCAGTGCAATAGAAACATCCCAGGAACTGTACCTTTCGGTTAGAGTGATTCTTACAGTGCAGAGCAAAGAGAGCCAGAAGGATTTGGTACTTTGCCATGGTCCTCTGTGGATAGTTATACCATTTCCTCTTTTTACCAAGAAATAGAAGTTGCCGTGCCACTTACTGGAACGGTACCCTCATCCTCTCTCCTTTTCGCCTCCCTCTCATCCTCTTTCTTTCCTCCTTCTCCCTTTCCCACCTTTTCTCCCTTTCCCATCCTCCCCTTCCCTGCTCCATTTGTTTCTTCCTCTCTCCCTTCCATTCTTCTTCCCTCCTTCTCTCTTTCTTCCCTCCTTGTTTTCTTCTTTCCTTCCAGCCTTGATCCTTTCCCTCCCTCCTGTCCTTTTCTACACAGTACTCCTTTATTAGAGTTAATCAAGCACCTAGTTTGTGCCATCCACTGTATTGTGCACTGTAAAGATACAGATACACAAGACACCAGCTGTGGTGATATTAAACTTTCACTGTTCTGTTTCAGCTCCCAACCAGACTCTAGTATCCAGGCAGGCACTGGTGTTTATTAGATGTGAGGCACTTTCACAGGCTGTTTTAGTGAACTCTATCAACCAAACACAGGTAGGTATTGTTACCGTCTCTATAAAACTGATGATTGAGTGGATTTAGGCTGAAAGGGTTAAAAAATTGCTGATTCAGAAGTATTCAGTGCATATGAGGAGGAGTCAGGAATTTATTTGGGTTTTACTGACTCTAAGTTCAGTGCCATTTCCTGCTGTGTCTGCATACTGACTGGGAAGGACCCTGCTTGCATCCTCCCAAGTTCATGTTTTTCACTGGATTGCATAAGATGTGAATTGTGTTAAAGGGGTCTGAATAATTTAAGTACAAATACTTAGTATTCGTTCAGTGTTGCTCAGAATGTTCACCTGCACATATATTTTTTCATGTTTAGGAAACTGGTAAACATTTTGGTGCTGTCTGCGAAAGCAAGGTGGATAGCTAGAAGCTGACCCTCCGCAGATTTGTAGACACACAGACAAGAATAGGAGCGTGTGTGTACTTGAAAACACGTCTCCTCTGGAGCCAGTTACAGAAAACATGGGAGGCAAACACCCTCAGTGCTCAGGTGATGATCAAAATCACTCTTTTAATAAGATTTTTTTAATTTGAGAATTTTTAAATTACAAAAATGTAGAGAAAATATTCTAAAAAAATATCCGTGTACTCATCACCCCAAAATCAAAACTGGTCATATTTTATCATATGTATTTCAAGATTAAGAATTAAAATGTTTCATAAGGTTGAAATCTTTTATATTTCATTCTTAATCCATCTCCTTCCATCACCATTCTGGTGAGCAACATTAGAGATCTGAAGATCAACCCACTGTTTATATGTTGTAAATACACATGCCTGCATACACGATTTATAGTGCTTTATGTGTTCATTATGAAATATACATAAATGTCATACAGCTTATATTATTCTGCAACTTCTTAAAAAAAGCATTACTGCTTTGGAGCTCTAGGTTAAAATATAGCCCATTCCTTTTAGTAATTATATGTATATACATATATATTTTATCATATGAATAAAGTAATTTCTTATGTCATTTTATTCCTGTTGAGAAATATTAAGATGACTACCAGTGATACCACAACAGATGTATTCACACATGTTTATAAGTTTTTTCAATATGTTTCCCTAGAAGTGGTATAGCTGGGTGATTACTAGGTGCACCTTTAATGTTTGCATATTAATGAATTACTCTTCCTGTGCTGTCCATTTGATTACTTGATTCTCTATACTCTGTTCAATACTGAATATCACTAGGTTTTTAAGTCTTTGCTAATGTGATAGATAAACAAAACTTCTTGTTTATCCTTGCATTTCCCTGATTTACTGGTATATTCTAGCATCTTTTCATGTTTATTGGCTGCTCTGTGTGTGTGTGTGTGTGTGTATTTTAGTTATGTGATTTACCATTTTTTTCTTAATGGTTATTTGTGGGGTTTTTTCCTATCAATTTATAAAAGCATTCTATTGTGGATATGAATCATTTAGCTATTATTTAATTGCTGCAAATATCTTTTTCTTGAATCACTGTTTATTGTTTATCACTTTTTTTTCTTTAGAAAGGACATACCAGGTTGGTTTCAAATGTGTGAAGGGCTTTATTCTTTTTAGTCCACTGGAAAGTGGTGTACATAGTCTCAGCAATCAAACGAGCAGCTGTCATTAGTTTCTGCAGATCCAAGCAAAAATTTCCCTACAAAGGCTTTGAAACTTCTTCTCCAAACCTGGCAAGTAGCCCCTCTTAGTATCTTGGGACTAGATATGTTCTACAGATGTCATTTTATTTCACTGATGCTATTGTGTAAGTAGGTAGGCAAAACAGGAGAAATGGACTTTACAAGCCAATAGTTTATCAGAATCTATTCTCATGTAGCCTCAAAGTAGACTGAAGGTAGTTTCATTATGTGGAATTTATTATTTACTGATCTTTGTTTAGGCATCTCAGATTTAAAAGTTTAACTGATGACACTGAGTTGTTCTATTTCTTTTCTCCTTACTAAGAGCAATTTTCAATTATGCTTTAAGAGTTCTAAGGAGATTTTACTCTTCTGCCTTCTTCCTCCTTGGACAATGGTTTGTAATGATTGATTGAAAGCTCTGGAAACACAAGTATGAAGCAAGAAAAAACTTGAATATCTATATAAATATTTACAAACATACTTGACTATAAACTCTGTGAAGTAAGGGCCTGTGTGTACCATGTTCACAATGGTTATATCCTCAGTACTTGGCTCAGTGGATAATCCCAGTTAGTGGGAATATGCTGAACATCCCCAACTCATACAAATTCATTTCTGTGTTAGACACTCTGCATTGTGTGTGCTTCATGTAATCGAAGTGACCAAAATAGACAAAGTCCCTGCCCTTATGAAGTTTACGTGCTGGTGGCAGGAAATACTTTTATGACAGGAAGAGATAAACGACAATGAAGAAAAATGGTGCAGTGAATGGGCTAGAGGGTTGGAGAGGGGGTGTTTTTGTGGAACAGTGTGAGCTGAGAGGCTTCTTGCAGCAGAGTCACATTGGTGATCAACATTTACTAGGCAGTGAGACATAAAATTCCACTATTCAGGCTCCCAAACCAATCACTTCCATTTCAGGAGGTAAATTCATCTCTGAATTTTATTTGGGGCAGTTTGTAAGTCTTGAAAAGATGTGAAAGCATTGATTTCAGATCAGAAAGAGTTAATTGGTGAAATATGTTCCCTTTTCTATGGAAGAAAACAGCTGGATTCATAACACTTGATGGGCTTGGGCTGAACTCTTAGGTGCCTGAGCATTTTGTACGTTCCGGACTGCCTAGCTCTCCCCTTGTCTACAGCAGGTCTTTAAGCCCCTTGGATGTTCCTATCTTGCAGACAGCTAGAAATTATGGCTCATGATTAATTTAAGAAAAATTTATTGAGAAGCCTGTAAAGTGCAGAGCTGAGTTCATATCACAGAAACTGTCATTTGCACAAAGCATTCAGAAAATCAAGATGCTGTAGACATTAACTTCATGGAAACTTCCTTCTTGCTTCATTTAATTTCTAAAAGTCTTTAGTTCCTAACACTATCTGGTAGGTGCACAATATGTTTCTTGCTCCTTCCCCTTAATGCCTTAGTAAAGGCAAAAAAATTATACTGTTTTCTGGTTTGGTTTGATTTTCCTAGCTAAGTACTTAAGTCATAGATGTTTCATAAGTACCTTTTGATGAGCTTCATTGTTTGGTTATTTTTGCTTTAGGCAATGCAGACACCTTCAGATTTTCTTCTATGACAGTCTTCATTTAACCTGGCTCATGGATGTGCTGCAGTGAGTCCACAGACATCGCAAACCGGGGGATTTTTGCATGGACCGTTAACTTTGACACAAAACATTCGGCCTCGTAGAAGAACCAGTTTCCAAACTAGGACAATAAATAAATATGCTCGCTCACCTTTCGAAAAGAATATTTACACCTTTGGTATAGTCTCCTCTGTTCCTTGGGTTGTTAGTAACGAATACAAAAAGTGGCATCGTTTTTCACTGTTTTGTCTTAAATATCTGGAAAGTTATCTTCTCTTCACGCTGTCTTTGCTGATTTACAGAAAACCCTCTGCCTCGGGGTTGCTCTCTCCCTTCTCAGGGTAATTTAGAAATGGAAGCTTTGACTGCTGAGGGTCTTTTTGGTTTTGTTGTACCTCGGTTCACCCGCTCGGAGCACTCACGACCCAGCCATCTGCGCTGAAAGGACCCGCAGCGGCGCGGAGAACGGGCTGTCACGTCGGCGACGGGCTTTGCTGGCGGCCGCGGGCTCCGGGTCGGCGCCCTCCAAGCTGGGGGACCGGAGCACCAGCGACCGCTCGACCGGGGCGTCCCGCGGTCCTGTTCCCTCCACGGAGTACGAATCTCCTCATATGTCCTGATCCAAGGGGGATCCTGCTCTTTCCAGTGCAGCCTTCGCTACCGAGCTTGGAGCCCGAGGCAGGCGAAGCGAAGCCGGCGAGAGGAAAAGCCCAGAGCTGGGGCGGAGGAGAAATGAAGGGCCGGGAGCCGGGGGGATTTCCTCCCGCGCTTCCCTCTCCAACGGGAGCGGAAAATGTGATTTGCTGTGCATTCCAGGCGCGGTTCCCTGGGGTGACCTCTCCCAGCAGGCCCGGGCGGGGGGAGCAGACAAAGAGGCGAGGCGGGCGGAGAGGGGACCCCGCAGGGAAGCAGGAGGGGTGCAGGCGGGGGCGGTACCGGGAAAGGGGGCGGATAACGGGTCCGCCGGCGGAGGCGCCTGGCCAATGGAGAGGCGCGGCCCCGGGCGCCGCGCTCGGCCGCCGGCATTTAAACGGGAGACGGCGCGATGCCCGACACTCGGTGCGCCCTTCGCGGATCGGGCGACCCAGTGAGCGGCGGTAGCTTCCCTTTCAGTCCCGCCGACCCGGCGCCGAGCCGAATCGGCTCTGGCCGCGGCGAGAGCGCAGATCCCGAAGACCCACCTCACTGACAGGTGAGCGCGGAGGCCCCGAGGAGTATGCATGCGTGTGTGCGCTCGTGTGTCTGTGTGCAAGGGGCCTGCAGACGTTTGCCGAGTTCTTCGCGGTGCAGACGCGCGGCACCTCTTGGTGTGCAAAGGTCCTGCGGTTCCCTGGGGGTAAACCTGAAGAAACACCGCTGGGTCCTTCCTCCCGCGGTTATGGATGCGGTGACCTCGCTGCTCTGGGTCTGCTAGGAAATGGGTAAGGAAGGGGAGTTTCCAAAGCTGGCAGAACCCAGCATCCCATTTCCACGCTTCTGGTGCTCCGGGCCACAGAGTCCGCCAGACTCGCCCGCACCGCGAGAGCGCGCGCCCTGGGCGCAGCCGGTGGGCAGCGAGCTGGAGCGGTGGGGACGGACCGCGGGGCCACAGACGGCGCGGCCAGCTGCCCCGAGAGGCGCTCAGAACCCTGCGGCGCTGCGCTGGGCTGGGACGTCTGGGGCTGCCAGTCGGAGCCGCGTGCACAGATCCGCGCGCACAGATCCGCGCGCGCGCGCGCGCGCGGGCAGGACCATCCAGAGAATCAATGAAGCGCGTATTTGCCAGTCCGCGAGGCCAGAGTGCCACTCCGGCAAGAGCGAGGCCGCCGGGTTTCACCGCGGCGGAGGCCAGCGGGTCTGGTTTCCCGAGCTGGAGTGCGGTGCGGGGTCGTGGCGCAGGCCCAGCGAGCCCCTGCTCACGCTGCTCGCCGCGCACACTGCAGCCTCCTGAGCGCTCACTGCGCTATTCCGAGACTCTCAGATCCCACGCACGCCTCGGCTGAACTGCAGACGTGCAGGCGCCGGGCAGCGACCACCGGCTGGGTCCCACTTCCGCGGGTGCCCCTTAATCTGTATCCTAGGGGCACCGGCCTCGCCTCGCTCCTCCTCTGTGGCGACCGAAGACCGTCGGGCCAGCTGCAGGAGTCCGGTCCCTGGCTCCAGTGGTCTGGACGCCCTGTCCCTATTTCTTACCCGCCGCCGGCAACACTCCAGTGACCCCACTCTTGTTTGCAGAGCGAAATAGGGGTGAGGGTGAAGAGTCGACGGGGCTGTCATCTCCCCGGTCCTAGTTACTTTTAGATTTGAGGCTCTGGAAGAACGGAAGAGACACAGCTCTTTCTTGCCATTGCCTTCAGATTCTGGTTCCGCCTTGGGGACGCCCCTGCTGGACCGTTCTGGGTGCTAGGCCCAGGCGGAGGTCCCGGAGCGAGGCCGGTTGAGCATGCGAGGTGACCAGCTCTTGCTGCGAACCCTCTCCAGCTCGCTTGGGACCACTCGCCGGTTTAATCCTGGTACCACTTTCCCCTCCTCTGTGGATTCCAAATCCTAGCTTTTAAAGACAGAAATATAACCTCAAAGCTAGGGGTTAAAAATCTCCTCTGAAATGGTCTGAGGGCAGCGAGGCGACCATGCGTAGGTAATTGGATCTCTTGCTGCAAAGAGTCAATCCTCGCGGTGTGCCCTGTGTTTATGTTCCCTTGAGATGGTGCCAGGATGAGAACTGATTAAAACAATCTATTGTGTTCAGTGGGTCACTGGGACTTTAAACTGTCCCGGGGACCCCTGAGTAGTGGCTTCCTTTTGGCTGTTCACACAAGTTAAATAAATAGCATAGAAAAGGTTAAGATAACCCCAATCCCAGGGTGAGGGTCTTCTTTCACCCCTAGGGCTTATCCCTTTCCTTTTCTTTTAATTTTTTTGGAAAAGGCTAGGAACTTGAGGGGATGGACTTTTTTTTTTTTTTTTTTTAGAAAAAACAACAAACTAGGAAAGATCTTAAGAAAACTGTTTTCTCCTATATGCCCTGCTCCCACAGCCAAATCTACAAATGTAGTGATTTGATTACTATCACTTGATAAATTGCACTGTTGGAATTTTCATATTAACTAATTATTTAAGTGTTTTTAGGCTGTAGTGGCATGCATGTATGCGTGTGTGTGCACATTTGTGCTCAGTGTATGTGTGCCTTCGTGTATTTAACGCCCAGGTCATTGTAGGAATTAGAGTCTTTGGTAAACTGTAATTTCACAGGTTTCCAATTTTCTTAAAAGTTCATTTTGAGTGAAATGTTTTGGTAACCCACAATCTGTAGGAAATCCTGGCTGGCTAATGTAGTCTTTATGTGAGTCGTTACACTGGGAAGAATAAAAACCTATTATGTCTCCACATCTCTCAGTGAGAGTCTCCTGTCCTTTCTTCTAAACCCAAGCCATCCATCTATTGTAATGGTCAAGTATGGAAAGTGCCAAATGCAAAGAGACCCACAGACCGACCTCCCTCCTGAGAAATGCTTGTTGACAGCCAAGCTGTGGAGTGTGTTCTAGAATGGGGAGTAAAAGACAGAAAACTAAACCTTAAGGTTTAAGGAAAGGAGGAGTAGTGGATAGGGGAGGTGACTGCACCTCCTATCTGAAAGGCACCAAGTGCTACCAGCCCGTGTCTTACATCTGGAAGGAATTCCCCTTCATTTAACATGTGCTTTTAGAAATGCAAAGTACAATAGAATTATCTGGGACAAGAGAAGTCTTTTTCTTCACATGTAAACATGAAGATATAAAACAGATAATTATTTGATTTATAATATGCTTCCAATTTTATTGCATTAGAAAACAAATTCATGTATCCCATAAATATTGTGCTGGGTGTCAGTGGACAATGGTTAAGGACATTGTTGGACTCCTAGAACTGAGCTCAAATCGTGGCTCTCCCACTTATCAGCTATATGATCTTGGATCAATTCCTGATTAGTAAAAATAAAGAGAGAATATTATGTAACTCATATTTTATTGTGAAAAATAAAGGGTAAGGTTTGGACAGAATTTAGCATATTGCCTGTCATAGTGAGGGCTTAAAAACAAAAGATAATTCTTATTACTCGTGATGGTGCTGGGAAAAGTAGTAATATACCAGGACATGGCACAGAGTGGCTCTGAATTTAATCCTGAATTCCAGTTACACACTGACTGGCCCACCTTTCTCTACAATACACAGCCTGTAATTTAGCTGTCTCCCAATAGTGCTAAGTGAACATTTAATATTTATTACTTTCTAACTCATTTCCTGTTGACCTCGAGAATTACATCCAATCATTAACTCCCCTAAAAATATCTCTAGTGCTTTTAGAGCTCCTAAGATATTTAACCACCAAGTGGTCTCCTGTCTGCCCCATGTGGTATTGAGCCCCAGCCTACTTTAGCCTAAATGATCTTCAGTATAGGGAGCTTGAAACAGGGCATGGTGGGTGGTGCACACCTGTAATCCTAGCACTCTGGGAGGCTGAAGCAGAAGGATCACTAATTCTAGCCCATCCTGGGCAACTTAGTAAGACCCTGTCTCAAAATAAAAAATGGTCTGGGGATGTAACTCTGTGTGAAGGCTCTGAGTTCAACCCCAAGTATTTAAAGAACAAACAATTAGGTTGTGGTTAAAAGACTTGCAATATGTAGGGAATGAGATTTTATCATCTAATGGCTTGTCAATCACTACTTCTTATCTCCTTGGTGCAACTTGTCTGGAAAAAAAATCAACCCTTATTTTTATTCTTAAGAAATTGCAGGCTGGGGATTTAGCTCAGTGGTTTTGCTTCCTGCTGAGCAAGTGCAAGGACCTGAGTTCGATCCCCAGTACCAACAAAAAAAAATTCTCTACTTAATTTCTAAAAGTCTATTTTTTTAAAAAATTAAAGATCAAATTAAAAAGAGCCTTTACTTTTCCTCAAGACTCAGTCCTGAGAAAAAGGAATAGGTTTCCTAAAACCTATCCTGCACGTAGAACCTTTGCATTCAATTCCATTATGTTTTTTGCTGGGAGAATAATTTGACGGTATGCTTGTTGAATATTGTCCTAAAACTAGATTCAGTATGAGGATTTGACTGGTTCAGGCATAGACATCTGGCTGTCCCTGTAATTCTTACTCAAAACTCCACTTCACTGATGATGAGCAGGTTGCTTGGCTAAAACAGTACAAGGGGAATGCTGCTGAGAGGAGCTGGCCTAGACTCAAAGGCATCAAGAACCTTGAACACAGGTCACACTTAGCATGTTTGTTTCTGATCCTCAAAACAAGAAGAAGATTGTGTTCTTAAAGCCCTGGTCAAGAGAGAGATAAATTGCCATGACCTGAATAGAATGGACATGGTTAATATGGCTTATCTTGCTTGCAAGGGATTAGTCTTGATTACTAAGGAACACTGGAAGAAAAGCATGCGGTAGGGAAGACCTGCTTTGAGAGTATATCCTCAGATACAGCAGATCAGAGAGAAAGACCAGGCCAAAAAGAAAATAGGAGGAGGTGGAATGAAGCTTGCTGGTAGAGAACAATTGCAGAGAAAGCTCACCAGAAAATATGATTGTATTACATGGAGAAATACAAATGCATTAAGGGGTTGTGAAAGTAGGGTATATAATATATTGCCTACAAAGGAGAACTGAGAGAAATGTTCCTTGGGTGTTACGATGCACTCTGAGTTCATGAGATGCAGCTTCAATTTAATGATGTGAATATGGCATTTAATAAATGGAAATTATCATGAAGTTTTTGCAGGTCATGGTTGGAAATGGGTGATAATTCACAGGAACCTAACTCTGGGTAGCATTTGTGTTAATTTTTGATTAAGCAGCATCCCACTAGATGTTGAAGTGGAAAAAGAATTGTGCTCCAGGACTTTGTATCTTTTGATTTCCTGAATTTTTATGATATTTAGAAAGTGCAAATTATTTGATAGCAATACAATTGTGATTTCAAGAGGAAAAGGCTCTTATTTCTTTCACGAAGTAATCAAGATTGGTGGTAGAGAGGGCTGGGTGATGGACCACAGAAAGTGACACAGCCTGGCTCCAAAACTAATTATAATTCTCACCCCTTTCTTCTTACTCAAGTAGAACACCCAGAAGCATACTGGATATTCTGTATGGAAAGAGCACTTCTGTTCTCTAAAAGCTGAGGTTTCTGTTCATTGATGTTCTTGAAGCTGGTTTTTACTTTTCTCTGAATAACTATAAAGTTAAATACTCAAAAGCTTCATGATGAGCATTAAAGATTTTTGAAAGAATAGACTTTTAAAAAATAAAAAAGTTTCATCTTTCACACTTAGTATATCTTATTTTGAGGAAAAAAATCTACTTAAGAACAGCCTGTCACACTAGATCATCCCATTTGCTTATAGGGTATACACGCTTCCATGTGAACAGGATGTTTGTCCAAATTAAAGCTGAAAACCTCAATTCACTAATTTTGAATTAACTGCTTTGCTGTTGTTAGTTTCTTCCATGGTGTATCCAATGGCTTCAACTAGAAAACAAAGCCCACAGTGTCCAATATTGAACTAGGTAAAAAGTTGGGACCATCTGGAGTCTTTTAGAAAAAGATCGACAAATGTTAGGAAGCTCTCTAGGCTAGAAAAAAAGTTGCCATACTGAGGCTCAGAAATCAAAAGTTTTGTAAATAACTCTTCTATGCATTGGTACCCATGAGGGCATTGTAAAACACAACAGAAAGTATGTAAAATCTATGTCATCCACAGCAATCATTTGACAAATTTTAATGAGCACCTACTCTGTGCCAGGCACTAAAAGGAAGATGGTGATAAGCCATATGCAGTTGATGTATATTCCCAGGCAGCCTGAGCCCATCTCAGTGCAAGTGGACCCTGAGACTCTTGGTTGAGGGACAGGGAATTGGGCTATAGGTCAGCTTGGTGAGCGTAGAAAAACAATGTGGGAGTAGTTCTAGGGCCATCTTGTATACTCTTCCTTTGAAATGGGCATTAAATGAGTTTCATTTAAATCATGGTCTTGAATTGAATAAATAGCAGAAACTTGTGAAAGCATCTCAAATTCACAGTCTATGTGTCCAGGAGACTCAAAAGTCATGGCTCGAGTTATTCTGGCCTCTGGAGAAAAATCAGTTGTTTTATAACTGTACTTTTCTCATAAGTGATTTTTAAAAGACAAAACAAAGAAATTAATTTTTTGTTGTTGTGGCCAAAAAGACTCTGTTTAAAGAACAAGGGTGTTGTAACATACACTGACGAAACCCAGGGAGTCTACAGTTGGAGCAGGAGCTAAATGTCACATTATCAACTCCAACTTGAACTTGCTCCCAAATATTAGGTGAATGTTGGAAGGACGGTGACAGTTCCCTATCTTAAATGTAAAGCTTAATTATCTTAGCTTGATATTAGCCTTCAGGCTGAATGGTCCTTACCTACCAGAGGGTGTCCCTTAGAGAATGTAGTTTGTACACTGCTTTTGTCTTTGACAGATAATTGGTCTAGATCATCTCACCAATGTGTCCATTTTCTTGAGGAGGGATTATAAGGTTACTATTCAATTGCACTTAGTGCTTACCATGTGGAACACTGGTGTTCAGAAGGGAGTAGAGAAAATGGAACTGCACAACTGTGTTCCTAGGTTCAGAAAATTATAGCCATGGAGCAGAAGAAGCCTCAAGAATCAAGTCAGATTGTCCTGATGGCCTGGGGAGGGAGGCTGTAAATTTGAAACAGCACTCATTGGAAAGAGAATCCTTCCATGTTTTAATAATTTCCCTTGTGCCTCATGGCCACAAACACTCCAGGCTTTGCCATGCAAAGCTGGCTTCAGGCAACCTGCCTTCTTCCAGCATCCCTCATGATTATCGGGACTGTCAGGCCTCAGAGGACCGCCAAGGAGAATCTTCTTCCACACTCCTTTAAAAAAAATGCTCTTTTCTTGTTCCCCCTCATGCTTTTCTTTTGGTCTGGCTGCTCTACCTTCTGTAAACACCCTGGCTCTGATTTGCTTTGTTCACTCCGTTCATTTCTGTCTTTATATATCCATGTTTGGCTGGTTTTTGTCAGTATTCCCTCTGCCTTATTAATGTATTTATTATTTATTTTTGTCTTTCTTCATCCTGACTCATATCTAGCTCCAGACCCACTTGCAACAATGCACTGTCATTAATTTGGTTAACATACCTATGGCATTTATTAGTGTAAATATTTACACACACTTATTGTATGAGCCCATTGGCTTGCCTTTCTTTCTCTCTCTCCCTCTCTTCCTTCCCTCCTTCCTTCTCTCTTTCCTTCCTTCTTTCCTTTTTTCTTTATTTTCAGCTAGTCTTGAACTCCTGAGCTTAAACCATCCTTCTTAGCCTCCTGAGTGCTGGGACCACAGACCATTTTAAAATTTTACATATACACACAGAGACACACACACACACACACCACAGGTACATGATATTTCACCATTGAAAAAGTAGTAAAGCCTGTGGCATGGTTTAAAGAACAATATACATGCACTGTTTCAAGATAAGAATAAGTGAGAGGTGGAGGAGTCATCTGAGTTATGTGACCAGCCTGTTTTGGTCATTTGTTCTATCTGCAATAGCTCTATATGCACGGTTAGTTCTCAGATTGCTTTTACTTTTACATTGAATTTGACCTGAACCAACCTCTCTTGGAAGAGGTGTTTGTATCTTTGCTTACATAGAGTCATTTATCAAGAAGTAAAGCTCCTCTCAAGCGCAAGGTCCCGAGTTAGATCCCTGGTACCAAAAAAAAAGAAAGAAAAGCAACTTTGTCAAGGTCGGATAGCAAGGGGTTGCCCCGGAGTACAACTAGAAACTCCATCTTGACTTTTCATCCGCTGCTCTTCCTGTTACATTGTTTTCTCTGTCACTTGTTTTCTGCCCCCCCTCACAGCTTTCTCTGTCCTGTGAAAATGAAACAATGAAAATCTCATGCCAACTACAAGAATGAATACACTTCTGTGACCATAATGCAGAGTTCAGTATAGTGGGTGTCAGAGCCAGGAAAAATGTTCTCCTGAGAGTCCGTGTAATGAAGAGACTGGTCTTGGCTGGGTTTCCTTCCTGGCGGGCTGTGGATGTAGCTTAGTGGGAAGGCCCTAAGTTCAACATTCAGTGCAAAAATAAACCAAAAATCTTGGGCTGGTTACCTCACAGGTTAATGGCTGGGGGAGTGAGGGAAATGATTCCTAGAGATACTGGGAGATATCAAGGAAATATTTTATGTCAAGTGTTTAATAAGCGCCCCATAGAATGCTACTATTAATTCTGTACTTAATTCACCGTTGCTTTTTCCTGTCTCCCCTTCTCTGCTTCCCTTCTTCAGTATGAGCCGCACCGCCTACACTGTGGGAGCTTTGCTTCTCCTCTTGGGGACCCTGCTGCCCGCTGCTGAAGGGAAAAAGAAAGGGTCTCAAGGTGCCATCCCCCCGCCAGACAAGGCCCAGCACAACGACTCGGAGCAGACTCAGCCACCACAGCAGCCCGGCTCCAGGACCCGCGGGAGAGGCCAAGGGCGAGGCACAGCCATGCCCGGCGAGGAGGTGCTGGAGTCCAGCCAGGAGGCCCTGCATGTGACTGAACGCAAGTACCTGAAGCGAGACTGGTGCAAGACCCAGCCACTGAAGCAGACCATCCACGAGGACGGCTGCCACAGCCGCACCATTATCAACCGCTTCTGCTACGGCCAGTGCAACTCCTTTTACATCCCCAGGCACATCCGGAAGGAGGAGGGCTCCTTTCAGTCCTGCTCTTTCTGCAAGCCCAAGAAATTCACCACCATGATGGTCACACTCAACTGTCCCGAACTGCAGCCTCCCACCAAGAAGAAGCGGGTCACGCGTGTGAAGCAGTGTCGTTGCATATCCATCGATTTGGATTAAATAAACACACCCACCCTGTCCTGGGGACACAGCCCAGAGCAGCCTAGAGCCAGATCCAAACACCCTGATTCCCACTCTGCTTAAACCTAGAGGCCAGAAGAACCAGCAGCTGCCTCCTGGCAGGAGTCTGCTTGTGCATAGTGTGTGTGTATGTATGTGTGCGTGTGCGCATGCATGAGTGCATGTGGACGATCTTAGACACCAGAGGAAACCGTCTCTGAGAGAGGGCACTCTGTTACACTTTGCTTCATACCAGAAGGGCAGAAATGCCCACAGCACCCCCATTCACACGCACAGGGGGGAGGCTGTGGTTGGGATCTGCTATTGTCTTTCCTGTGCCCTCCAGGGGACCAGGATCTTCCTTCAGAACGAATGTCAATGGCACAGGCCACTCTGAGGGCAAGAAGAGACCTGTGTGCCTGCTGCATTCAACTCGGAAACTTTAACCTGTTCTTGCTTCCTCCCTTACTTTTCCCTGCCATAGTCTATCCCTAGGCTCTCAGTGACCATTTTGTCTCATCCCAGTTCTGCCAGGGTTCCTAAATTAATTCACTTGACCATGGATATGAATGTTTTCGATCTTGACCCTCTAGACCGGGGGAGGCAGGGCACTGATGTGATAAAGGACAAGCAAGACAGAAATGTGACAAAGGCAGAGTTGAGAGGACCAGTCAGGGTCAGGAAAATTCAGCAGGGAGGTATACAGAGACTTGAGAGGCCCACTGCAAAACATCGTGGGACCTATGCTTCAACAAAAGGGTTTTCTTGATAGTTAAGAAAATCCAAGTGAATGTGTGAGAAATAAAATTGCCAAAAGTCATTAACTTCGGCTGTCACAGATCTCCTGAAACTAACCGTAACCCAACACTAATCATAGAACTTAAATATCGACCACTGCTATTTTTAGAACCAAGTAATGAGTTAAACCAAAAGAGCTTCTCCTGTACACAAAGATAAGAAAGAAACAAGAACCTCATAAGCTGAGGTCCTGATAGCTTCTCTTTTTCTTGGTTATAATCACCTTTCCCCAGTTCATTATTTCTGCATAATATTTCTTAGAGCCACATCCATGTATCATAAAAACTTTTGCCTCTGCTGAGTGTACCTGACAAGGATACTCTGAGATGAGAGGGTTCACCTGGCTCAGTTTAGTGATTTTTTTCGTTTTGCTATTGTTAGTTTGATCCAGAGAGAAGAGAGAGTAAAGAAGTAATGGGGATTTCATCTCACTAAGTAGTGGCTGTCTCTTAATATCTGGAATAAGATACGGAGATGTGAGTTCCCTTTCTCCCTTTCTCCCTTTGCTCCCTGAAGGTCTATAGGGGAATCCCATTGAGTGCTGGGTATGTTAGCTGTCCATGTTCAACCAGGGTGTAGAAGGACATCGCATCTATTCTGTGCCTACTGGAGATGCTATCCTCTGATTAAACTCCGGCTCCTTGCTATTCCCATTTAGAATTTATCTAATGGCCAAAGTGCAAGGTGGGTGAACCTTATTGCAGTCTGGATTTGGCTAAGCTGTTCTCTTCAAGCCCAAGGTTCTATATGTAAATGGCTCAAGTACTTTTTAAATTTTTCCCTTTATCTTCTCAGCTTGCTTTATCTTTACTAGCAAAGTCATGTGTCTCTTGGAAAACAAACATCCCAGATTTAGGCTTCAGTTGCCCATCGAGGCTCCAGCTTTCAAAGAACCATTGCAATTACTACTTTTCTTTTTGGTTTTGTTTTGGTCTAGTCCTCTCCCATCTGACAACTAGACAGGAACCCTGCTTTAAGACAGAGGTTATCTTGAACACCCCAAATGGATCTCTTTTTAAAACTTTTAAATTCACTACTGATGATTCTACACTAGGTGAATTTGTGCAAACACTCTGTGCATTTTGTATACACTGTACGACCCTGCCCTGAATCTTACTGTCACCCACATCCTTCAGCAATAAAGCACAGAATGGATTTAATTAAGCACACAAATATAAAGGCAGAATTTTGAAGGTGGGCGGGGGGAGGAAAGGCAAGGAGAAGAAGCTAAAAGTGTAAAATCATACCAGAGAGGAAAAATGACATTGAGAACCAGCAAACACTGAGTTTGTCTTCTTGTAATTCTGCCGCAAGCATGCAATTTTGTTAAAAAGAGTTGACTTTAGCTGGCAGAAGCAATCTTCTTTTAGAAGCTTGTACCATGGACTTGCATTAAGTCAGATTTGGCTGAAGTGTAGAGAATTTCTTCAAAATTAACTTCACTTGAATAATCAGCAGCATAAAAACCCTGAAAGCACAGCACCAGCCAAAGAGGGAGATGTCTGCTTTTCTTACTGTGCCTATATTAAGACTAGCACAAGTGTGGCGTGTCTTCCACCATTTATTGAAAATGCCATATCTGTTACTTACTTTATTGGAGTCACTGATGATGTAGTAGCATATATATTTTTTCATTATTACAGTAGAATTTTTTAATGGAAAGATAGATGTGATCTTGGTCTTACCTATTAAAATAATGCCAAACACTAAATACAAATTCTATGATGTACACTTTGTGCTTGGCATTAAAAGAGAAAAACACATCCTGTAAACTGTAAGTTGTTTTTTGTTACTGTAGTGCTTCAAAGTTAAAAGTTGTAATGAAAAATCTGGAGGAAAGGATAATTTCCACTGTGTGGAATGTGAATAGTTAAACAAAAGTTATGGTTATTTAATGTAATTATTAATTCGAATCCTTTGGTCACTGTGATTTCAACCATTTTTGTTGCCTTTATGTGACTTCTTCTGAAGTGGACAAAGAAGCTGGCACATTGTATGTTGTTGGAGACTTCGGTCAGGTCAGAGGGAATCACAATCTTGACACATAAAAAGTTGTGTTAGAGTCAAGAACTGACCTTTTGTTTCTTTTAATTGAATGTTCCTTAAAGGTTAACATTTTAAAGCAATATTAAGAAAGACTTTTAAGTGTTATTTTGGGAGACGTACGATGTGTGTACAAAGAGCAGATAAAGGTGGACAGTTCACCAATAGAGTCCTTTTAAGGAGGAAAAGTAAAATGAAAAATGCATGGACAGAACTCTTCTAAATGACCCTTTGACGCTTAACAGTGAAAGTAGTTCTATTGATTGTCATTCCTCAAGATATTTAATATCATCTGCATGGCGAATCATGTTTGCTTCACTCATTTAAAAAGAACAAAAGATTATATACACTATGATCTAAATGCCTTGTGTATGAGGGTGAAAGGGGATTTAATAGTTTCATAAAAGTTAATTTGGCATCAAGTTTTATGAATCTGTAACTACAATTTAATTTTCACCCCAATAATGTTTATATAACCTTTGCCAAAGAGCAACCAATAAATTAAGTCTCTTCTTTGTGTGTGTGTGTGTGTGTGTGTGTGTGTGTGTGTGTTTGCTTTATCTTGTGGGAAGGGAGGTGGAAATGAGGTCCCGTTTGATTTTCACAGGATATCTCAGGCTGTGGCAGTTAGAGGCAAGAGAACGCTGGCCTGCACTGGAAAGTACCAGCCTCCTCCCCAGAGCATAGCTAGAACAAAGAGCAGAGGGAACTGTGAGGGAGTATTTCAGATAGTGGAAGGGTTGTCACGTGGAAATGGTTATAGCTTTATTTCAGGGTGTTTTAGAGAAAAAAACAGGAGAAAAATTTGGGGTCCAGTAGAAGGAAGAGCTTTCTAGTAAGCAGAGTGATCGAGCAATATCATGAGCTGCTTTTGAGATGGTAAACTTCTTGTTGTTGGAAACATTTTAAACATGCTAGATATCACTGCAGAAGAATATAAGGTAAAGTGAATTATTGTCCTACATATACAATTGTAGTGGATTTTTGAGCTCTCTTCTCTCTTGCCCATACAATTTTATAAGGTATTGGTACTCTAACAATAAAAACAATCCCAGCAATTGTGTATGAAGTGCTCATGTAGCACACCATGCTAAAAGTTTAATTTGAATTTTTCTCACATAATTCTCAGGACAACTCAATGAAGTAGCTACCATTATTATCACTGCTAGAAAGCAATGAATTCATATGGCCTTATGCAGCAACTGGGCCCTTAAGTACTATGTAAAATTATAAGATTTTCAACATTATGCACAATGGAATTCTATAAAGAAGGGTCAATTTGAGTCATTTGCAGCAAAATGCATGCACCTTGAGTCCATAATGTTAAGTGAAATAAATCAGGCAAGCTTAAATATCACATGGTTTCTCTTATACGATAAACCCAAAGTGTAAATAATTTAAAGAGAAAAGTAAAGAACAGATAATAGGAAACAGGAAGATACACTTTTTGCAAATGAAATGGGGCTCTAGAGATGAATGGAAGGGGTAGGGAAGGGAGAGGAAGGGTAAGTAAAAAGAATTAACATGTGTTATGTACATGTGCCAACTCCCCATGATGAAAATAATCATTCTGTACAGCAAACGTGTACTAAAAATGATAGAAAATAGACATGTAAGAACAGATTTGTCTATTGACTATTCACATTCAATAATTAAGGCCATTCTGAGGCTGCAGTTGGCACTGTCAGGAGCCCAAGCTCCAGAAACATTCAGGCAAAGGCTCTTTGCCACTTCTTTTGGTTATGGCCTCCTTGAATTTCGAGGGGAAAAGTGGAAGAAAATATCAAAGGGACAATGGTGACAGAAAAACCACACCCAGTAAATAACTTCTGATTAAGGATTGAAAGGCAAGTAGAACTTGACACCACATCGAAGGTATTCCAGCCTCAAATACCAAAACAAACAAACAAAAACAAACAGGCATCTAGGAAGATATCAGCAAAAATGCTGAGTGAGGGCCTGTCTTTGAAAATTCTCTCTGTGAAGCTACTGAGAACCTGGTAGAAATAGATTCAGCTTCCCTTTTGAATTCTGGAAATTAACTGAAGACTTGCAACAATCTAGAGAGGAATTAGTCAAGGAAAAGACTGAAGACTTGTCCTTCTCTCCCCTCTCCTGCTTCGCAGTAGTTAAACCAATGTACTAAAAACATAGTGAAAGCCAGCAGTCTGGAAGTTACTGGTGCAGCATGGGATTGGAGTTCTTTCAAAGTCACATTCTCAAAGAATTGTCATTATTTAACCTGTTTGACAGGCCTAGAGAATACATTTGAAGGATATCTTTATTCGACCCAATTAGAAGTTCCTCGGTGTGAAAAAGACCTTCTTGAAACGGTTAGAGGTAACTGTCTTTGTAGGGGCCTGAGTTAGTGGATAACATCTGAGGACAGCAATAGGCTAAGCAGAAAGCACAATGGGAAACATCTGGGAATGAGACTTCCATAGGGGCTTTGCAAAGCTCCAACACGTTACAAGGAATCTAGAAAGCCAAATGCATTCATAGGTCTGTCTGCATGCCTACAACTGTTCAGTGGTTCAGAAAGACCCGAAAAGGTCTTAAGATCTCACTTCAGGCTGACCTTGAGACCCTGCATAAGCAGAAAGTGAAGGCTAAGACAGAGCTATCAAGCTCCTGGCTGAGTGTTGAAGGTCTTCCTCAACATCCACGTAGAGCACCTTGGCAAAGACTAGTTGATTCAGGTGTTTAAGAAGATCACTATTAGCTAACAACTGCACTAAACAAGCAGAGACCTCAGTGGTGAAACACAATAAAAAATATAAATTTTGCAGAATTAGATCAAAAAAGTCACCAAACAGAAATCTTAAGAAGCAGCAAAAATAAAACTTTCAGGAGAGTAAGAAAGACTGATTTCAAGGAAGTGTCATTTTATCTTACTTAAAATGTCCAGTTTTCCTTAAAACATGAGACATGAAGAAACAAGAAAGTATAGCCCATTTATAGGAACAAAAGGCAAATGAGGAAACTGTCTTAAAAGAAATACAGACATCAGACTTACAAGACAAGGACTGTAACTAAGTTGTTTAAATATGTTCAAGAACTATGTACAATAAACCACTTTTTATTTACTTATGTGAGATGGGGTTTTGCTATATTATTCAACCTGACCTCTGATTCCTGGGTTCAACTAATTTTCCTGTTTCAGTCTCCCAAGAAGCTGACAAAGAAACTATTTCAGAATAACTAAAGGAAAGTAGGCAAATATTCCTACTTGTGAATACCAATAAAGAGATAGGAATTATATAAAAGAACCAAATATAAATTATATTCAACCAAGTTTGAAAATATAACATAAAATTAAAAACCAAACAAACAAAAAAAACTCAGGTGAAAGAGTTCAACCGTGAATTTGATCAGGTAGAAGAAAATTGATAAACAGAGAGAGAGAAAGAGGCAAGGAAAGAAAATGTGTGTCTATATGTGTGTGTATATGTGTATGTGTGTATGTGTTGTGTGTGGGTGTGTGTGTGTGTGTGAGAGAGAGAGAGAGAGAGAGATCTACTAAAATCAGAAATGAGAGCAGACATCACTACTTACCTCATAAAAATAAAAATGATTATAGGGCCAGGGATTTAGCTCAGTGGTTCCACTGCCTACCTCGCAAGCTAAGGACCCAAGTTCGATCCCCAGTACCAAAAAAAAAGAAATATATAGCAACACAGTAGATGAAGTAAATTCTTCGTGTAACAAAGATTTTGGCTTCATTTTTTGATGTTTGATATTGACATATGTTAAGTCTCACCCTGACCCCTCCTTTTTCTGGCCCACATCTAGGCAAACTAATAAGGAAGCCCAGACTTCCTCATGGGGCACTGATGGCATAGTCAAACCATGCAAGGCCTTGCCTAAATGTGGGAATCCTCATCTAAGCCTTCTAGTTTCCTTTCTTTGCTCTCTCAGGCCATTTTCAGAGGAGATTGACAGTTATTCTATGCCCAGAACAGGAAGCCTCATTATGTAAATAATAAACATTTTTATACTTTTGAGAGTGTGTAACATCATCAGTTTGAACATCTGAGTCAAATTTGGGTTGGGGCCCATATTGTTTATCCAGGCATGCACATGTTTAAATACTCAATTGCCAAAAGTGACTTAAGAAAAACTGAATATCTGAATACAAGTACCACAAGTTAAAGAGATTGAATTAGAAATTTAAAAAACTCTCTATAAAATAAAGCCCAAAAGATAGTTTCACTAGTTTTATCAAATATTTAAAGAAGTTTGTACCCATTCCTCACTAACTCTCCCTCCAAATAAAAGAAGAGGTAACACTTTCAACTTCATTCTGTAAGATCAGTATCACCCTGATAATAAATCCAGACAAATACATTAAAAAATAGAACTACATACTGATATCTCTGGTGAATATACATGCAAACACCTTCAACAAAATACTAGGTACCTAAATTCAGCAACATATAAAAAAGATGATACATCATAATGAAGTGGATATGCTCAAAAATTCAAGGTTGGTTTGAAAATCAATTAATGTTATACATCGCATTAACAGAATAAAGGGCAGAAACCACATGGTCATGCCAATAGATGCAGAAAAATCATTTAACAAAATTTAACACTCTTTCATGATAAAAACCACTCAACATACTAGGAGTGAACTTCCTTAACCTGATAAATAACATCTGTGAAGACCCCACACTGATATTACACTTAAGACTGAAAGCCTTCTCTTCTAAGGTCAGCAGCTAACAGGAAATCTGCTTTCATTGCTTCTATTCAACATTGTACTGGAGGTTGATTAGGTAAGAAGAAAAAGGAACTCATTTAGATTGGTAAAGAAGTAACAGATATTTGCGTTTTTAGATGGCATTATTTTATATGTAGAATTCCTAAGGAATCTAAAAGGGGATGAGTTCAGTAAGGTTGTGGACACAATATTGACACACAAAAATTATTCATAGTCTATACCTTGTGCTGGAAAATACGGAAATGAAATTAAGAAAATAACTCCATTTATAATAGCATCAAAAAGAAGAAAATATATAAGAATGAATACATTTAAGAAAGGAAGTTTAAGACTCCAGTATATTAAAAACTTCAATACTTGGTTTAACAAAACTAAAGAGTGCTTAACTAAATGAAAGGACAACCATTGTTCATCCACTCTAAGTGTTATTTTTGCTTAATAGACCCAACACAATCCTTGTCAAATCTCAACTGGCTTCCTTGTGGAAATCGATAAGCTGATTTTAAGTTTCAAAAAGAAATGCAAGGGACCCAGAACAGCCAAAAACAATTTCAAAAAAGAGCATATTGGTACTTGGAGAATCCACAGTTCTTGATTTCAAAATATACAACAAAGAATTTTGTAAGACAAACACCTTTATAACTATCACTAGGGTAAGAAACAGAAATCCCAGCCTTTCCTGAAGCTCTCCTTGTATCCCATCTCAGTGTTAACACTTTCCTGAATGACAATAGTAGTCACTCTCCTAAATTACAATTATCTTTTTCCATGCTTTTATAGTTTCATCAACAAAGCATGCATCCTTATCCCCTAACTCAACAGTTTATTCTGTTTGAGAAAAATAAAGGTCTCAAAATTAAGGAAGGTCTCTGAATTAAGGAAGTCCAAACTCCTTCCTATAATCTAGAAGAAGATTACCAGTATCACTTTCTCTTATTGTATCTAGGGTTTATTGGGCAGAGGTAAAATAATGCATAGTAGGGCAGTTAACATCAGCCAGGTTATAGACTAGGAAACCTTGGACTTTCCTTTCACGCATAAAAACACCCATTAATAAAAATGATGGACAAATTCCCCTTGTGAGAAATTTAAAAACTAACTGAAAGTCTCTTGAACCCTAAGTAAAGACAAAACCCATACTTACCCAAACTGTCAGGGTGATTTTGGGCATTATCTTGCCATAGTCCCTACTCCAGCACAGTGCTATATAATCAGAAAGAGACCCTCTAGGTTCCAGCTTCTCCCAGAGGAGAAATGGGGTGACTTCACATGTCTTCACATGTCTGACTTTTCTGAGGAGGATCCTTAGAGGACTGGCTTTTGTCTTGTTGGCCTTGGGACTCTGACATTTCTGGCAAATCCAGACCCCTGTGTGACAATGATGATGGCAGCTTGGGCTGCCAGATGCTGTATATCTTTCTCTCTGCTCACTGTAGACCATGCAGATGAAAAAGTCTACCTTTCAGATTTCTTGGAAGGGGAAAGAGTTGACACCTGTGTCAAACACCTCAACTCTTTCACATCTTCCCAAAGAATTGTCCTCTCTCTTGTCTGTCTTAGAGCTCTGACAGGTCCAGTGCTTTCTAGATGCCTGGGGGAGAAAAAAGGTGATGATTTAAACTGTTAAATGTTATAGAACTCTGCCCCTTCCCTGGTCAGCTCCTCCTTGGGGAAAGAATAATTTTTGAGGGGTTCCAGACTTCTTGGTTGGGCTGTTATCCTATACAAGGCCAACCAGTCAAGATAGAGACAGGTGTTTAATGCACAGACATTCAAGGAAAATTGAAAACCACACAAAGATGTTCTAAACCCGCTGTAGAATAACAGAAGTCTCCAAAAACGGATCCTACTGAAATGAAGTTATATTATGTACTTGGCAGAGAACTCAAAACACTTATCATAAAACTATCCATTGGAGTCAAGAGAACAATGCATGAACAAAGTGAGAATTTCTAGAAAGTGACAAAATATAATGTCCTAGGAGATAGAAGCCATGAAGTGTAGTAACTCAAAAACTGAATGGAAAAATTTGCTGGAAAGTTTCAAGAATAGATTAGAAAAAGTGGAAGGAAGAATTAGTGAGGTGAAATATAGGTCAGTGGCAAATAATTCAGTTAGAAGACAAATAAAAGTGAAAAAGGGAAAGAAATCCTAAGGGATTTATGAAAAACTACCAAGGAAATTAATATACACATTATTTGAGTCCCAAAAGAGAGAAAGTGAAGACACAGAAAGCTTATTTAAAGAAATAATGAACGAAAACGTCCCAAATCCAGAGAAAGAAATAGACATCCAGATCCAAAAAGGCCAACTGTAAGATAAATCTAAAGAAACATACAATGAGAGACATTATAATAAGACTTCAAAATGTCAAAGACCAAGAGAATTTTGAAAGTAGCAAGAGAAAAATGACTTGTCACATGCAAGGTAACCTCTGTTGGACTGTTAGTAATTTTTTCATCAGACCTTACAGGCCAGCAGAGAGTGGGGTGATATATTCAAAATGCTGAAAAAAAGAAAGAGAACTGCCTACTAATAGATATTGAATAAAACTGTTCAGCAAGTAAGAAGAGTATGAAGGAATAGAGGGATGGGAAGGAAGATGAGAAGTAAAAAGAATTACAATGTATTATGCACGTGTACTAGTTTCCCATGATGTGATCATTATGTACAGCAAACATGTACTAATAAAAAATGAAGACAAGATGAAAATCCTTCCAGATAAAAGCCAAGAGAGTTCATCACCCCTGGAGCGATGCTAAAGGAAGTTAGTTCTTCAAGTTGAAACAATAGTAAACTGAATAGCAACACAATACATGAAAAATCATCAGACTCATTGATAAAGGTCAATATATAAATAATATAAGAATGTTGTATTACTAGAATGATGATGACTAAATCACTTTAATTATAGTATAAAAATTAAAAATAAAAACAAAAATTTACAATAACTCCAACTAAAATACATTTAAAAGGCATGAACAGATGTAAGTTGTGACAACAGTAACATAAATTGGGGATAAGAAGAAATAACCATGTTTAAACTTCAGTTAAAACTGTCATGTGAGACAAAGAAAAACATCATTTGATAAAAACTGTCAATCTATCAAGTAAATATTATATATGACACATTGCTATTAATACCCTGAAAATGTTTCAATTGCCACTTTCTGAAACAGTTCTGGAAATTCTCTTTTGTGAGTGTCTTTACAAGGTGTGATAAAAAATATGATGAGTGCTGCTGCCAATCCATCTGACTAAAAAGCAGGCGTATAAAGTATTAATCATAGTGTGTCTTCATCCACCTTTTCATTAGATTTGGCATTATGCTCCTTGTGGCTCTTTCCCAAAGTCAAAATGACCATAA